AAAAAAAAAAAAACGAAGAAAAAAATGAAAAATTGGATCCGGTGAATGAATCTGTCACCTCAACTGGTATATTGGTTGCATGTACTACACAAGTTGTCCGTCAACATTAAACGTTTGTTATTTGAAATATGAAATTAAACTAAAAATTATGGATATACCACAAATAGAAATTTGACTATATTGGGAAGCTTTTAGATAACAGAAGTCAAGTCGATTCCATCTTCAGGAAGCATCTGAGAGGGAAGAAAAATGAAAATCATCTCCATATTTGATAATCAGTTGCACCTCCACAACTTCCAACATGGAAAAAGTATTTCAGTTTATAAATATCGGCTACATTGGCTTCGGTCCCTTCAGTTTAAATTTTTCTGCAGACTTGACGTCGATTCATTTCATCTGGAAGTTTTGCCATCTGCCATCCTCATCTGTCCTGATATTGTACTTGACCTTTCAATTTTACGACTTTAGCTGTTGTCATGATTGGTAGGCTAGCATTTAGAGAAGGTACAGTTTTAAAAGAAAGTGGAGTTTGCTCTGATCTGGGTGCCTGTGTTCCCAGATCTTTCTATGGCTTGGGATACAAAAAACAATTGAAAAATGGTGTTAAAAACTTCCTTTTCTGGTTGAATGGTTTCGACGTTGTTTTTTATTTTTTTATCTGTGATAGCTTGGAATGTATAAGGGTAAACTCGGTTGGATAGCTTGGAATGTATAAGGGTAAACTCGGTTGGATACTTTCTACGGAGAAAATATTGAACCTCACTAAACATACAAGTTAAGAAACTTGAAATTCAACAATCGCAGCACATTTAAAGGGCCAAGAATTTTATAGAGCTGGTCTGTGATCATCTGAATTGCATGGACTTGATTTTTTACGTCCTCGTGCTTTATTTGTCTATAAATTCTCTAAAATCTCATGGACATTTTGGCAGGAAAGAGAAGCAAAAAACATAGAAATTCCAAACATTAGATGGGATGTTTTTGAGTTGATGATGAGGTGAATAGATTTTGAAATTCCTTCCTACTCTGCATTTGTACCTAAATAAAATGCAATTCTTCTAGTTAAAGATTCTAATTCAAAATTATTTTGTTCTTGCAGGTACATATACACAGGTTCTGTTGATGTTACTTTGGATATTGCACAGGATCTTCTGAGTGCTGCCGATCAGTATCTTTTGGAGGGGCTTAAGCGCTTGTGTGAATATGCTATTGCGCAGGTATTTCTCAAAAATAAAAGACATGTATTTTCCCTTGTAAATTCCTTAATGTTCTGACAATTTCTTTATATCTTCTCAAGGACATTTCGGTGGAGAATGTCTCTCTCATGTTTGAGTTATCAGAGGCATTCAATGCATCGTCATTGAAGCATTCTTGCATTCTATTCATCTTGGAAAACTTTGACAAACTAAGCATCATGCCATGGTATGTTCATCCCTCTCTTTCCTTTACCTGCTTACTCTCGTTCTGTTATTATATTGAAATGTATTATAGTTCCTTTGATTGTATATGCGAAATGCAGGTACTGTCAGCTGATCCAACGTACTTTAAAAGAGATGCGAAGCTACTTTGTAAGAGCACTGACGAGACCTGTCCATGCTGAGCTACAACAATAGACGGTTCAGCTTCAGTTTTGATTCTGACTAATTGGTGTACAGAAGTTGATTAGTTTCTCTGGAGTAGTTGAGTAAATGGAGAAGACTATCGTCCATTTTGTTATCTTGACCTGGAAGCACCTGTAATTTCCCATTTAATGCAAACTCCAGATTAACTTTAATTTTTTATTTTATCTCCGACTACTTGCTGAAACTCGTTTTGAATTCATCGGCGAAGTTCATCAGCTCGGGATAAGCAATTGGATCTTTGGACTTCTGTTAGCCCAGACAGGTGATTGTTCTATTTGGGCTGGGAGATATAATGCTTGGAGTTTGCATCTAGGCATATATGGATTGTACAGACAAAGTTTTTGAGAGCGAAACATTGTAGCCATAGCTTTCAAATGACAAACTACAAAGATGTGCCAAGTCATGTCACTACATTCTTCTTAACTAGGAAATAAAACAGCTACTGAGTTGGGCAAAGATTAATATTTAGCAACCACTATATGAAGTTCAGCGTTTCCTTTTACATAATCAAACACGGAACCCCAACACCATCTCTCTCTCATTGTACACAGAAAAGCGGTCTGCGGAGCATGACAAACTCAAAAAAGGAAAATCAAGACAACAATAGTATGAAGGAAAACAAAAGGAAAAATGGTTCACAAACCAACCTACTCTTACAACAATCATATCTACTTGACTGAGAAAGAGAGGCCCTGTTATCATTAAAGTCGTAGTTAGTGTACTCTTTCAGGGGTTCCTTCTATCACCTAACACTAGCAGGCCTTTAAATTGGTTGGTAGCATCGCCAAAGCGTATCATCAGATTTGCCTAGCCCAAGCAGAATTTCATCTTGCAATTGTAGGAGCATAAGTGGAATCATCTTTGTTTTGCCAGCTCTTTTTTACTCCACATGCCTGGGACGACCGTTCAATCTGAAGCACGTCTATGGCTTCCTTTGCCAGCCGAGAACAATACCTCTTGAATGTCTGCAGAGTCACGTGAAGTTCGAAATCGAGACCAAATAAAAACTTCATCTCCAACTTGTTCAACTCTGCCGTGCTTACGCCTCCCACTCTAGCATAATATGCATTATTGAAGAATCTGAAATGTATTTCAAGTCATGTTAGAATTTTGCAAAAAGTGAAATGATCAAGCAGCTTCATGGAAACTTACGCGTCATCGATAAATTTTGCTGCCACCATTACACTGGTTATTATAACTCGGTGAATGTTAAGGGATGTTAAGAACATATTTGTCCGTTGAACGAATCTATCCACATATATGTGTGCAATAACAAAGCACGATGGGCTGCAGCTCGAGTACTTGAAAATTCGATCAATATATTGACAAATGCTCAAAGAAGGTGCTCTTGAACCGTGAAATATTGTGATATCATCTTTCATTTTCGTGGCCTCCAGTATCCTTTCATTTTTTTGAACAGCTCTCTCAAGGAGTGTTGAGAAAAGTGATAAAACTTGGGGGTTTCCTGAATTTCCAATACTCGATTCTTTAAGACCCAATGATACGTACTCTTCAGAGTGTACATTCTCATTATCGTGTGCCAAAGTTCCCATGATCTCAACAATGCTGCAAAATAATAACGTCTAGTCATATTCGATAGAGAACAATTTTAGAATAGTCTGTACTGTCAGTTTTCTCTCAACTATTAGATCCCAGAATAAAACTTTAAAACAAGAAAAGGAATAATAGATACAAAGATATGCTTATCAATCTAAAAGGACGCCAACAGATCAAAGCAGTTGCCAAGGGAATGATTATCAATCTAAAAAGAAGCCAACAGCAATCATCATACGACGTGTGAAAAAAATAATCGCGTTTCACGCTAAAACTATAGACAGATTGATAAATCCAAAGATGGACAGTTCTAATTTCCGAGATACATAATCTTGTGAAGTGAAAAAACTGGTAGAAAACAGATGTTTGCAAATAACTATTTCCCACGATAACTTTGATCTTCTCACTGAATCACCTCGTTCTCACGACTTCTATAAATCAACACAAAAGCCATGTCTCAACCATCCAAGTTAATGCTCTGATAATCAATCATCAAATGTTGTTGTCTCTACTTAACCATCCAAGTTATTTCTTATTTTATCTAGTATAGTACAGAATAAGATATCAATACACTCACTTGAATCACTTTTATAACATGAACAAGAATTTCCAGCTTTCTACATCAAGTCTTGTATTATGGCGTATAATTCTTGTTGATCAATGCATTTCTTAAGAATTTCCTATTGCTTCACCGTAAATAAATGAGCTCTGATTTCACTATTCTTTTTGTTTGTTAGATCATTTAGGATTTCATGAATCTTGAGTCAGATATGATATAATAATTAGCATAAAATAACCAAAAAATAGTTTATATTGAAAAAAATGATGCAAGTTCTTAGATCCAGTCTACAAGAGCTCAATTTGTAGAGAAAAAAAGAAAGTTAAAGCCATAGAAAACCAATTCAAGAAAATAGAAGCTTTGGTGGATCCAATAGGATGCCCCCAAACCCTCCCAGATAACAGATTATAAGTTCAATACAAAACATGCCGAAGGTTTCAAAGAAACTCTTGTTTAATATATAATATCCTAAATTCATGAATAAGCTATCCAAAACAAGTAAAAAGGAAGAACTTATTTCTTCTCCCGAATATAAAGAAAACCCACAAACATCCAGTAAATCAAAGCACGAAAAAACAACAAGACACATTACAAAACATGAAAAAATGAATCTCACAGTTCATCCAATTGCGTCACAAGAAAATCCCAGAATGAAAATTAAAGAAAAAGCATAAAAAGGAAAAGCTTACTCTGAGTTCTTGAGAGATCTAGTTTCTTTCCTTGACTCTGCTACATGAGCCTTACAAAACTAATGCTTTTCATTTCTTGAGGCATAGAATCAAACACTACAAACACATTTCACTTTCTTTATATACAAAATTTTTCTCCCATCAGATTACGAACAAGAGGCATTGATTCTATCTCATGAAACACCTTTTTTTTTTTTTACACAGATAGATTTATTCAACGAACTAGTAAGAAATATGCGAACTTGGCTGTCTTTTAGGTCACTTCACATGGAAAATAAAAGCCCAACAAACTCTCTCTGTACAGGTATACCTGTGTGGTATTGTCTAATAGTAATTCTTGTTTCTTTATTGGGGCGGTGTTTATTTAAGTCATAAGCACTTCTTCACACGTTTCTTACGTTTTCACGCAGGTTATGCGTTTTGGAGAGTTAATTGTTTCAATATTCATTTAATTTAGGATCATATCTTTTATTGATTACTAAAGTTTAAAATGTCAAAATTTGGTCACCGACATTATGTCAATGTCTTCAATTGCTCATTGAACTTAAATTTATGTTTTAGATTGCTCACTAAAATTTAAAATATCGATTTTTGGTCAATGAACTTTCGAATATGCTATACGTTACTCACTAGCATAACTATTAAACTCTGAAAAATATTGATTTTACAGTGAATAATGTATAACATTTTTCAAAGTTCAGTGACCAAAATTCGACATTTTAAACTTCAGCGAGTAATCGAAGACATGGACCTAAATTCAATGATCAAAATTTGACATTTTAAACTTCGATGACCAATCAAAGACATGGACCTAAATTCAGTAACCATTGGAACAATTAACACCGTTTTGGAGGATGGTGTTGTAGTCTATTTTTATTTTATTCAACAGTGTTGGGTGGACAAAGGCTGTGTAATTTAAAAATATAGAAAAATTTTGAATTTATATGTAAAATTATTTCATTGAGAGAATGTGTCATTCAAAATGAACTTGAACAAAAATGAATTTTTAAAGAATTATACTCTCTACAAAGGCTTCACGGTGTATGGACTCACCTTTCATTTTTCCAGAATTTGCAGTTAAAACAGTTTTTTTATATTACTGCAGTAGCAAGTGTTGGAAACTTGAAAAAGAATTGGCCAGAAATTTTTTTTAGGAATCAAGAAATTTCTTAATTTAATCTGAATCATGGATCTTAGATGCCTCGTCTCATCCAAGCAGGCGAAACACTTCACGGCAACCGTGGAAAGTGGTCGAATGAATCGCCTCACAGGGGGACAATACACCAATCCTAGGACGAGAACAAAGATCCTCTCAAGGTCCGTCGCTCGCATCCCAGCAGTCACTGTAGATGGAATATTAAGGATCGCTCTATGCAGGTTGAGAAGATCCGTCCTAAAAATCGAATGACGAGCAATCGACTCATTGTGATTTAGACGATGATAATGAGAACTTACCCTTTCTGGAGGAGATCAAAGGCAAGCTTATCCTTGTTGATTTCAAAATGACATAGATGGAGGGCAATTTGGACAATTTTTATCACTGGAGACATTATTGCGAGTATAACGAAGATTGAAATACCTCACATTACGTTTTCGTTAATTATGGCATTCAAAATCAATTCGTTTCTGCCTAAAGGAATGGAGGAAATGTTCATATGGGAGTGAAAAATATTATCAAAATTGGAATCAACAGGGATGCAATCTTTTCCCTTTCTGTGAATTTTTTGTTAATACGATCAATCGATTGTTCTGTCTACTGAAATATGACTATTTTCATCATGATCAGTGACTTACTGATTGTGAATTATCGACGGCAATTTCGTAACCGATGAAGGGATTGTTGAGTTGAAGGATATATTCAAGAATTCCCCTAGTTTTTTTGACGAGAATGATGGATTATGATGAAGAGGCCGAGGAAGTTAACAGGCGTTCTTGGCTATATTTTCAGGTTTCTGTGTGTTTCTGATCACGGCCATGTTATTTTCAAGTATTAATTCCAACTTGATGAGAAATGCACTATTTTACACAAGTGACGACACCCCAAAAAAACATTGCACCATATGTTTCCTTAGCCTAACATTTAGAAAGAGAGAGACAGCTTCATTTTTGTTGATTGAGTCTTGAAGCTGCAGCCATTGACGCCGCCACTCCGCCGGGATGGGTACACATGTCCGCCTTATTTCTAATCTCCGCGCCAATTACGCCCTCCGCGTCTTCTCTTGTTACCGGTTTGTCATTGGTAAGTTTTGTAGATGCGTCCTGCAAATCAAACTAACAATGAACTGGATTTATAAATAATTACGAGGATACATAATTGTGAAATTTAGAAAAATTACAATCAAGACATCGCCAAGTTTCGTCTTGTCCTCATCACGCATTTTCCGGGCATTATATGCGGCGGCTGATTGGGCTTCCGCCGCGACACTGCCAGGCACTGCATGGCCAAGCCCAGTGGCACGTATCTCCGCCGCCTGTATGGCGGCAGCGTCACTTTCATCAATGGGCTTGTTTCCAGCCGAAAAAGCAGTCGCTTCAAGTGCTTCTCCAATAGTAATTGCATCGGAGCCATCAATACCCGTGGCTCCAACATCTCCCGGTTGAACATATTGCCCCACCACCTATAAAATTATAATCCATGAAAGATTAATATTTCAGAGTTTGTAAATGGGATAGTTAGGGGGAAAGAAATTCTATACTTGTCCACCAATAGCTTCAGTGACAACACTAGAGCCGCCAGCATCCGCCTCAGATATGGTGACGCCCTCTTCTCTAACAATATTCGTCATATCGTTGTGGTGAACGACACCGCGCGTCTCGTTGACATCAGCCGCTGATTGCACGACGGCTGCCGGACCGCCTTCCTGAATCTTACCCAGTGCAACGTTTTCAGCGGCCACAAAGGCGGCTGCATCCTGTGGAGCGACGGGTCTCGACGCTAGTTCACCTTGAACATGGAAAACGTCTCCATATCTAACGGGGTTTGGCCTTTGCGGCTGTTCCTGGCTCATTTTTGGGCCTCAGATCAGATGAATTGGGCTTTATTTCTCTCTTAAGACTTTTCTATTTTGATCGAAATATTTGTCGGACGATTATATATATGAATGGGTGGCGAGGAGCGAGTCGGCTCCCAGTGACACGCGGTAGCAGCGGAGAGATGACACCTGTTGAATTGCTGGTTTTCCATTCTTCCACCGCTTATGTATTGAGCACCGCTCCATACCAGTTCACCATCTGTCCTATGGAGATGCCCAACTTGGGAATTAAAAAAACGAAGAATTTAATCATAATTCATAGAATTAATCTACTCGTTTTGAAATATATTGTGGAGTCGGGATTGATTTTATCCATAAATGAAAGGGTTGTTTGACAAAATTTTTAATAAAAATTGTATGGTTATTTCACACTTTCACGTCGTCTTTGGGATCAGACTCCACTTCATTGCAATATTATATTCAAATTTTTACAGCACAAAATTTATAGATATTCACTTTCTAAAAGATAATAGAATAAAATTGTTTGTACAGGTAAAAATGTTAGGAGTTGATACGATAGATTTTTATTGGCTGTTTTAAATTTAATTTTTTGTGCAAAGTTCAATGAAAATCTTTGATATGATGGATTTTTATTGGCCGTTTTAATTTTAATTTTTTGTTCAAAGTTCAATGAAAACTTGTCATTTCAAAATTTGACAAATTTTCTGGTACACGTATAGTGACGGATTTAGCACTTGATGAGCGCCAGTAGCCCCTATCTTCTTCAGTTCTTTTCTCCTTTTTATCCTCTTACATTTCCATCTATCAGATAAACCCCAGAAAAAAAAAAAAAAGCCAAAAATTAAAACCGGTAGTTCTATAGTTTCTGATTACAAATTTGAGTAATACAAAGCAAAATTTCCTTAAAAAATCTTGTTCGTTGTATATCTAATTTTTAGGAATACCAGCCCAACTTGAAACAAACGGTTAAATTGAAAGAATTTGTACGAGGATTGAACGATTATACATAGATATATACAAATAGAATCAAGAAATTTAAAAGCCTTTTTAAAACTGCGTGATTGATTAATTGGTAAACAGATAAAGTAATCTGTGTGTATATAAATATTGTAGAAGTAGAGAGCTTTAGAGAGAGAGAGAGAGAGAGAGAGAGAGAGAAAATTGAGGGATTTGATAATGAAAAGAGGTGGCGAAGACACAAAACCAACGGATCTTAAATTTCTGTTCTGTGACTAAGTGCGGCAACGGACGGACTGATGGTGGCGGCGACGACAGACTGTTTCCAATTTTTGGTTGAATTTTGTTGTAAGTATAACAATTTTGACATTATGATTGACAGTAGGGACAAATTTAGGAGTTGAGTTCAGTTAAGGCAGAGGACGAGCGTTAAAAGCTTACTATCGACGGTCAATATCCTTGATAGCGGGGTTATTTATTAATATTTAATTAAATAATATTCAAAAAATCGTACAGATTAGAACTGGATACGCCACTAGAACTAAACTATGTACGAACTTTCATTTTGGATGAAAAAATCGTTTCATAATCTGTAAAATGTCCTAATTTATTTTTCAATTAAATAGACAATATATATTAACAAAATGTCAATATTCAGTTTCCAATTAAAGTTAATTAAACAAGCATTATTATATTAAAAAACTGAAATTATTTATGTGCTTATATCGATTTTATGTGCTTCTATAATTCCACTTTTTCGCAATCGATTTTTTGTTAACGAAAAGTGGAATCTTTTATTAATTAAATAAGTTTTGTTGAAAGATTTCTTATGACACTAAGGTCAGTTTTCTTACAAATTCATCTACCATTGATTGACCAAACTCTCAAATCAATTGATTAGAGGGGGAAAAAATCAAGAAGAGGGACAAAACACCGTTAAAATATTTTTATTCGCATTAAACCAGTAAAATTGAACATATATTATTTTGTTACATTATGTGTTAAAAATCAGCAAGTGACATGATGGTAAAGTGGTCATTATGTTTAAGGAAGATAGCAGGTTCGAATAACCTTCCTTACACAACGTTATAAAAATCGGACCATTCAACTGGAAAAATCGTGAATCAGCCTTTAATCCGGTCCGGTACTTATAAACTAACCGAAAAAAGGCTAATAAACCGTCAAACGGACTGATTTAACTGTGAACCGAAAAACTGGCCATGGTTTTTTCCAGGTAATTTGATTTTTTCTCCACAAAAACTTTTAACTATCTTAATGAGTCATCCATTGCAATTGAAGACCCAAGTAACTTTTTTATATAAGTGATTCTTCCTTACTTTCTGTTTAAAGGAGATCATTCCTTCAATATTTTAGTAATTTTTCAATGTAGGATACTTGCCCCTTTTTAAAGGAGATTATTCTTCCAATATTGTGGTACTCTCCCAATGTAGGATACTTGCCCATTGTCAATTTTAAGTATTTTCTAGTTTACTTCATTATTTCATTAACAAATCATAAATCCCAACAAGAATTTTCAATTTAAACAAAGCAAATTATTGTGAACATATTAATTGTTAGTTTTCAAGGTTATAAAATAAATTATTATAATAAATCTAATTAACAAATATTCATTATATTTATTTTGAATGCGAAAATTGAAATTTAAAAATCTATTATAGTTATAATATTTTATAGTTTATTTGTGTATTTATTTATTTAATTCGTCATCCGGTTCGACCCCGACTTGACCCTTTAAACCTCGACCCTCTTCCTTTTCATTGGTCGATGCTAGGGTCGATTTTTAAACATTATCCTTACATTTGCTTTGGTAAAAATTGTTGAAATACGAAAATTATAAAAAATGTTGCTCTTAAAGAGTTTCGAACACATGACCTTCAATTCAATAGTGGAAGGGCTAATTAACTAAGCTACCATAAATGTTTATTTTTAATATAAATTATCAAATATACAATCTAAATATTCTATTTATTATCAACAAAAAGAAAAAAAAATTCTCTCCGATGAATCTAGCTAGGATGGCTATCCTAGCTAGCCATTGGTTGATAGCCCTTTCACATACAAGAGGTGAGACCAAAATAATCTTGGACTCCACATTTGTGACAGTGCTGTACATGTACAACATTACACACAAAGCAATTTCCTTTTTGGTTTTAGCGAGGGGGTTGGGGTGAGTGGTTAGGGCAAGATGACACTAGAGGTTAATCGTACTCTAGCAACTTTACATAAGGCAGAAGTTGGTATTTTTGGGGTATGAAATTCCTTTTCCTTTCTGCAGGGACTAGGAGATCAGATCTAGTCGTAAGGCTCTTCCCGCGGTAGAGCCTCTCGCCTATCGCCTTTTTGATTTTCTCATTCTAGGGCTTGAAAGCTAAACTACTAACCTTCCCTTGAGACACTTATTATAGAAATGTAAATATATGATTTTATCCCTCATTTAGTTTATCATATGAACTTTAGCTATCGTTAAAATGAAAGGTTTGCGACCGTTGCTGCAAAAATGAAAGGTTAAGGAGTATTCTGTAATAAAAAGAAAGGTTTGGGACCTTCGTTACAATTTTTTCCATTTTGCATTTGTACTTTCTACTTAATCCATAAAGATTTTATAGAAATCATTACAAATCATTGACATTTTAATTATTCCGTGACGACTTAAGAATTTTAAAATTTCTCGATTTAAGGACTACATGTCGAACACCCAAAACTTTTCACTTTTTCTTACAAATTTTATCCTAACATTTACTTTGTGCCATCCACAATTTCAAACTTTTCAAAAATATGCATTTGGGGTCCAAATGGATGGAAATTTGACAATTAGTTGACCAATTTAAAAGAATAAATGGGTAATTTTGTTATTTTATCCTATAAAACTAAAATAAATAAATAAATAAAACAAAATAAAAATAAAAGAGAAAAAAATATTATCTCCTTCTTCACCCTTACCTCCCAGCCCAGCCCAAATCCTAAAGCAGTTCTTCAGTACCTAACTCCAGATCAGATTCCGCCCTACCCATTCTATTTCTTCAACATTTGGAATCCATTTTCATTAATCAATATGGAAAACCAAAATAAGCCCAGTTTGGGCCCTTTAACTTTCATTCCATTTCATTTCATTTTTCTCTATCTTATTTTCAACTACACAATCTTCTATAAAATAATATTAATTGTAAATCGATTTTTATTTTTTATTTTTCAACCAGTCATTTTCATTTCTACAAAATGGGGCCAAACGGGGACTAAACAACACCCAAAAGCAGTGGCACAGAATCCATATCATTGTAACCTACAATCCAGTCTTCGGAGAACTCTCAATCCACTAACGTACCTATACCACATGAACTTAGGGTCCGTTTGATTGCGAAGTTGAAATTTGGGTGGAAAGAAAACAAATTTCATGGAATTGAATTTCCTAGAAATTGTTTTCTTGGGAATCGTAAATTATTGTATTTGATTGATATAATTTTTCACGTGAAAAATGTTGAAATAAAAGTGTTTTTGGTGTTCGTTTGACTTTATTTTACATAAAAATTATCAATTAAAGAGATAAAATTTACTGGTATTGGGGATAGAATTTGTTTCCATTGTCCAAAAAAAAAGTCAAGAAAATCATCTATTTTTTTATATTCGTTCGACTTTGTTTTACATGAAATTTGTCAATTAAAGGAACATATTTTTTTACAATTAGGCATGGAGTTTATTCCCATTGCTTAAAATAATAATAATAATAATAAAATGTTGCTTGGAATTCCAATTCTCACCAAATCCATAAGAATTGGAATTCCTCAAAAATCTGAAATTCACGAGCGTGATTGGAAAACTTGGAAATTGAATTCCATGGTAAAAAAATCCAATCAAACAATGCAAAATGTGGACAGTACCACGTTCCATGGAATTGATGGCCAATCAAACAAAGCCTAATAGTAGTAGACTCTTCACCGACTCAAATCGAAAGCAGTAGCAGAGGACATATAACAGTCACCGGCAGATTCAACCTAATATTATTCCTGGGTTACCATCACCCACTCACTCCAAAAGCTGTAGCAGTGAACATATATCACTCTCACCGAAGATTAAGTGTTGGAATTTTTTTTATCGAAAATTGGTTGTGACCAATTTTAAATGATTATTTAAGTGGAATTCGTTATTTGGTGAATGCGAAATTAAACCAAATGTAAACCGCTTAAATATTGAAAATTATT